CATTTCTGACACTAGCTATTGTCTGAGGTCATTTACTCCACCTGCGCAGCTGGATAGATAGCTTATTCAGCTGTAATAGAAAGAGATAAGTTTTTGTCTCCAGTTATACTTAGGGTAAATATTGTTTTCCATGGTTTCATTAACGTAGATTCTTGAGGGAGAATTTTAGACAAGGAATATACTAGTATTAAATAATGAAACTAAATAAAAATTAAAGTTTTTGTACTCCACGCAGTTTTTGGAATTCACTGATGAAATAAAGTTTTCATTTTTTTGAAAAACACTATGCTGTTTCCTCTTTTTTGTTATAAGAATTAGAAAATCCAAGATGTTTCTCTTCTGACGTGGCTGCCAGGATGCTCCAAGCTAAGGATTTAGTGATAATAAACATTTTCTTGCATATATTTAAGCACATACTTCTCATCCTTTCATGACTTTTTAGTATCCGATTACTTATTCCTATCTGATTAATTCAATGTATCTAAATCTTATATATGCAAAGAATCAGGAAGTCCATTCATTTTCAACAAGAAATTCATTCAAAACTATTTATTGTGCAATCACTTTGTGCCTGGCACTAATCCAGAGGATGGAGATACAATTAGTTAAAAGGTTAGTTTTATGAGAGATGTGGATATATGTCATTGTGTCTTTAAAAGAAAGAAAATCCACCAAAAAAATTCAAGAAAATGGAAATGTAAAGCCTTTTATTCAAAAATAATTTTCCACGATCAAATTAATCCTTAAAAGAAATTTTTATACAGTGATTGTCCTCTTCTGATTGTGGCATATGAGCATACAGAAAACTAGATACTTGGTTATACCACCAGCTTTTCAGAGCTCCTGCATTAAAACCCAGCTTCATCCCTGGGCAGGAGCTAAGCCTAAACACCACCACAAATTAAACTTTAGGATATATTATCCCAGCAACTTATACTTTCTGACTTCCACTTATACTTTCTGACGTCCCAGGAGTGAGCTTTGTATCTTAGATTTCTAACCTTGGAGTCTCACGTGCAGTGAATAAGTAGCAAGTAGTGGGGGCAAATACGAGCCATGAAATATGACGCACTTTGTCCAGCTGACCCGGGAGAACAATTGCTTACGGATAAAGCAGCTTTCTTTTCTAAATGACTTCAAGGTTGGTGGGCCTAAATGCGCCTTTGCTTTTAGCTTTGTTTTGCTTTACTGGCTTACAAATATGTGTCACACAGTGACCCTGTGTCAGCCTGCCAGCTGCTAGCCTAATGTTGGGAAAGGTATTGAAATTTACAAGGATCTTGCCCTGGGCCTCCACTTACTGGGGAAGGCATTCTCACACATTTCAAGGCGTTTCCAGCTCACAATAGCCCTGTAGTCAAGGAAAGCAGTTCAATAAGACTGCCCACAGATGAGCACGTGTTTGTCACCTGCCCCAGCAATTGCAAACAGACTAGCACTTCAACTCGCTTGCCCTTCCTTTGCAGAAGAAAGCTGCGTAAATAATTATGTTTTAGGTTGGTGCAAACATTGGACTTCTCAGATTGAACTACATGCACTTGGGCTTCTCAGGCTGACATAGAGGTCTTTCAATAAGAGAGCTGCCTGTTTTAACCTTGAAACTAAGTTAAAGCATTTCTTAAGGCAGTGTTGTGCTTTGGTGATTAAGCAAATCCAAACACTGGAGTGGCTGACTTTTTGAAATAATTGTAAAGCAGCAGCACAAAGAACTCAGAGTAGCAACAAATAGCAAAGGGCAACTATTCGTCTTGAAAAGCTAGAGGGCCCTAATGAAGACTATAGCAACCACAAAGAATAAAAGGCTTGTCCCGAAAATGCTGCCAAAAGAAATTGTAGAATCACAGCAAATCAATCTCTTGGTTCCTGCAACAAAACTCAAAATTTTGTGCAGCAAGACTTCATGGAGTTTGCCACACTCTTATTGGCGCAGGTGTGGCAGCCATTCGCTTCATTTGTATTAAATAGGGGTGGTGCTGATGGCTGGTGAGCCAACAAGAAAGATGAGGCCATTCATTGTGAGGAAATCTGTCCTCCTGTGTCTAAATCTTTACATTTGACACTCACTGTGATTCCATTTAGGTGAAATAAATCACATAGACACAAAAACCCCAGCCGAGCTGACCAGTTGGGGAAATGCCACTGGAGGTCTACCCTTCTCCCTCCTTAGAACCATCTTTGTGGGCTTTTCGTTTCTAGGAAAGCCCCTCGTATCTTTCGGTCTAATTATCTCATTGTACAAATCTTTCAAAAACAAAGAAAGAAAAGCTTGCTGTGAGCACGGACATCTTTTCTTCCGTCCAGGCTCTTTAGGAAGCCTTCAACCAATGGTCCCTGAAAAGGACACGCTGAGGGGCGGTGAGGCTTAAAATCCCGCGGTCCTCCCCGTTCTTTTTTTCTTTCTCTCGCATTTCTCCTCCCGCCCTTCCTCACCACCACCCCTCGCCCGAAAATCCGAGAAGCACTTTCAGCTAAAGACAAACGAGAAGGCTCAACCCGGGGAGGGGCACGGAGAATGCTTAAGGGGAATAAAAGACTTAATGGAAAAAGCTGGTGCTGCCTAATTGCGATTAAGTATTCTGCAGACAAATGAACATATTCTTTTGATAGTATTTAAAACACCCAGGTCTTTTCCCCTATTCAGTCTTGTTCTTTTTTAAATCAAACTAATATAGGTTCACTAAAGTAACAAACGCCGTTGTGAACGTATTAAAACTATGGTCCTAAAAACAAAACAAAACAAACTATGGTCCTCTGTGCTTAAAGATATTTCCAAATGGCCTGAAATCCGTGAAAGTTTCTTTAATGTTTCTGGTATATTTCTCTTAATAACACGATACAACGGATACATCTTCAAAGGCAAATATAGGAGCGGGGTTTTAATCAATTGCTACTTTATTACAAGCAAACCATTTTCCTATTTGCAATTTTCTAAGTCAGCGTAGACACCGCAGTGTGAGCAAGAACACTCTTCCCCGCTCCGCCCCCCCACCCCGCACCCCGACATTCCCGGGTTTTGCCTAGGCCCTGGGCGTTTAGAAGCGCAAGCTAATTGGCTGGTGTGACACACATTAATTGCACCTGCGGGCACCCGCTTTCAGAAAGCCTGCAGCCTCCTAAATGCGGGGAGGTGGAGCTGGCGCCGGGCCGGGGAAGGCTGGTCCCGGGGTCCCCGGCGCCCTGGCTCGCGCAGCGCGTTGGCGTTGGGCGCTCACCAGCCCCGCGATCCGCGAGGTAGCGGGCACTTCGAGCAGGGACTGAGACCCGTGCGCCCCGGCCGCGAGCCGAGTCGGGCCCCCTGCGCCCCGCGGCCGCGCCACCCTGCCCGTGCGGTGCGGTTTGCCCCGGGCTGAGTTTCCCAAGTCAAGCTTGGGGCGTCTCGGGTTTCTGTTCACCCGGAGATGGCAGGCACCGCGGCAGGGACGGCACAAAAGAGATCAAGGCGCGAGGGGATGGGTTTTGTGCGCTAACGAGGGCTGGCCACGTCGGCCGCCGGCCCCCCGGCCGCCCCCCGCAGGGCCTGTGCGGTCTCCCCCGGCCGGTCTCTCCTCCTCGCCCGCCGCCCCCGCTTCCTCCTTCTGCGAGTCTCAAGCCCCAGGCAGATCCTGGGATTCTGTCCCCGGCGGAGGCTGCTGGCGGCGATCAGCAGACGCCCTGTTCTCCGAGGAGCTGCCCCGCCACGCGGGGCGGCGCCTGAGTTCGTTCCTCGCCGCCCGCCGCCGTTTCCGGCACCGCCGCGGTCTGGGGGGGCCTGCAGACCGCGACCCCGCGGCCGCGCTCCGAGCCAGCGCGCTCAGGGGCACGGCGGAGGCACGGCGGAGGCGCGGCGCAGACGACCCGGAGGGCGAGCGCGCACGGGTGCTGGCGGAGCACACCTGGAGTTCCTACATCCGCAACCCGGGGCACTAAGGGCGTTTAATGCTTGAGAAAGTCAATCCAACTCCAAGAGCGAGTCTCCACGCCCGGCTGCACACGCCGGGGGAGTGGACAATGGAGGCAGGGAGTTAGGTAGATCGATGAGCCATGCCAGTCGTACTCGAACCCGAAAACACTACGAAAAGTATAAGCTGTAGCGTCCGCCACGGCGCGCCAGTCCTTCTAACGCCAGAGGAGGAGCGCCTGTCCAAAGGGTACTCATGTGCCAAGAGCTCATTGATTATAAAAAACCGTTTGGTTGTCAACTGTCGGACCTCCGACCACCCGCGCTGAAGTCCTGGGAGTGAAGCCCAGGGCTCAGGTGGCCACAGCTCAGAGGCTGCAGAAGTGGCTCTGGGGCTGTCGGGGAGAAGCGAAACTGGAGGGCAAAGATGACGGCCCTGGGCAGCTATTAGCAGTGTGGGTGCAGACTAGGGCAGCTGTGTGGAGTGGCTCGCTGACGCCCCTGGGCCTGCAAATGTCACACACACTCGCTCACACCGAGCCACGCTTTGGGGTTTATTCTTTAAATTCCAGCGAGACAACGCGGTGCAAAGGATGGGCGAAAATTTAGCTTCAGAACTCGTCCCCCGCCCCCAGCGGGGTCGACCTATCTTGGCCGCGCCTGCGCCCGCGCTCCCGCGCTTCCCTATCAAGAGTCGGTAAACTTGGATTCCACGATCGCCGCGGCCTCTAACTGTCGGCGCAGGACGGTCGGGCCAAGGTACCCGGCCGCGTTCCCACGCCTTGGCGGGAGTGTGGAGGCAGGCGGTGGTGACAAGCACGCTCCCGCCCCTCTGTTCCAGCCAATCGCGAGCCACGCCGGCCCTAGGAGGCGTGGTCTAGGGTGCGGTGGAGGCGGGCGCTCGGGGGGCAACCGAGGGGGCCCCCGCCCGAGCGGAGGGGCGTGGCCAGAGTCCGCACTTGCGGCCGAGCCGGGCTGCGGCGTGGGAAAGAGCTGCGAGGAGCCTGCCGCGCCACGCGGGAGCCGCGCCTGCCGGGGCGGAGGAAGGGTGGGAGGGCGGGAGGGAGAAAGGCGGGAGGAAGTTGGCCGGGAGGTCGCTGCGCGGCTCCGGGTCGGTGGCTCCGGCCCGGCTGTGCCCCGCGCCGCCGTCGCAGCGATGAAGCGTCCTTGCGAGGAGACGACCTCCGAGAGCGACATGGACGAGACCATCGACGTGGGCAGCGAGAACAATTTTTCGGGGTGAGCGCGACTCAGGGCGTCGGGGAGCTTTGTGCTTCAGCGGCTCCTGCGGAATCTCGTAACTCTTCCCCTGGGCGTCCTGGCGGAGTCCGCAAGTTGCCGGAGAAACTTTGGGGGACGCGCGCTCAGTTAGCACCGGGGTGGGCGCGGGAGAGGACAGTGACGGCCGGAAGCAGAGAAGCCGGAGCTGGAGCAGCGGGTGGGCTCGTCCGGGAACCACACTAAAACTGTGTTCCAGGGCTTGGTAAATAGATCACAGGGGAAAATCAGAGGGGAAAGTATGTGTTTGGGGCGGGGGGCGGGGGCGCACGGTTTGATTTTATGCTTTATTTTTAGAGAGAGGCTAAAAACACGACTTACTCTTTGGAAACGTTAAAAAGCCATGTGTGATGTCACGACTAGGTAGGGTTGAGCTCCCTGCTGACCGCGTGTGGCGGGGCTGTGGCTCCGGTGAGTGACAGAGATAAGGATCGGTTCGGGCTGCAACTCTTTGACTGCTTGTTCATAAATCTGGAAAAGATCCGGTCTGATCACAGAAACCAGACCTCCGCTTTCCCTTGACAGAGGGAGATTAGCAAAGCATTTTAGTGCCAAGGAGGGTCAAATGATAATTGCTTCTAATTGGCATCCCCAGAAGCACCTTAATTATTTATCTGCAGCTGTCACTCAAAGAAGGACATTTTTCCTACCTTTGGTCAACAGATTTCCTTTGATGAAGTCAGTTCGACCTCGTCCTATCGGATCACCGTGAGTCAGACTAGACTGCATGGTAGTGAGTTTGGTGGGTGTTTTATGTTTTAACCCGTCTGAAATCAGCAAGAGCAAAGGTATTTACATGAAACGTATTTGCAAAGGATCTTATCTATTTGCTAAAGAGTCATTTGAGAAATGAGATCTGAAAAACAGAAGTTGTCACAAAGGGAAAAATAAAACCATCGAGGAGGGGTAAAATTGAGAGTTAATTCAGAAATAAAATCCAGAATTGAGAAAGCACTATATTTGAAGAACCTGTGGAGCACCATATTTCTAAAATGAAGGAGCATAACAAACGTTGATTTTGAGAACATAAATATAATGCTCGTGGATTATGAACCGATATATAAAATAGGGTTATAAAAATAACAAAGTAATGATCTCAACTTTTTTAACACAAACTATCTTCGTCGGTGTGCTCCTAATGAATTGCATCTCCTAGAGGTTTAAGTTAAGATTGAAGCCTGAGAGATCCCTGCAGTTTCTTTTTCAAGCTCTTAAAGACAGCTAGCCAGTCCTTAGTCCAATTTTTCTCCCCTCGGTGACATCATCTGAAGCATTCTTTTGGGAAAACTGCCATGCAAAACCTCAAATTTGTCAAAATCTGCCCCAATCGCGATGTATGACTAACTGAAGTGTTGAAATAGCTAAGTTCTGTGTATTTTAAAGACTGCATTTAGGGGCAACATTGACACAGGATGAATGTCTGTTTGATAGGGGTGCCTCCCATGGCCCTATTTTAAAGTAGCCCTGCTTTTTCCCTGTGTGTGACAGAGGGAGGAAGGGAGGGATGCAGGAGAGATGCTAGCAGAGGATACTTGGCTTTTAAGAAATATGTGAGTGGAACTAGGAAGTTCTGACATTTATCATCCTAACTGCCCTTCATTGTTTTCCTGGGAGACTCTAGTAAAAGTTCAGGGTCCTCTTTGCCAATGTTTTGTCATCTGGCTTATTCATTTTCCAAAAAGCCATAATTCCTACCTGAAAAGGGACAGAATGGCTGACAGCAAAGAAAGCTGAGAGTAAAGAACTCAGAGTAACATAACACACAGGACAGTGCAGCCCCCTTGAATGCTGAGTGGTGTCATCAAGTTAGGTGAACGCAGCAGCTGACACGCTCTTCCTGTTTCTCAGGCAAAGTACTAGCTCGGTGATTAGGTCGAATTCTCCAACAACGACATCTCAGATTATGGCGAGAAAGAAAAGAAGAGGGGTATGTGATTTTCCTTGCTTTCTTTTCATTTCACGTTCAAGAAATGTCTAACAGTTGTATTTTCCACTGTGAATAATTTTACCATTTGTAGAGTCACACTTTTTTTTCTCGTTTGGTTGTCTTTGGAATAGATTATAGAGAAAAGGCGTCGGGATCGGATAAATAACAGTTTATCTGAGTTGAGACGACTAGTGCCAACTGCTTTTGAAAAACAAGTAAGCTACCCCTACCCTCACCCCACTCCTTAAAAGCTCAAACAATCAGATTTTCTCATCTGGGAATGTGGGTTCTTGTTAAAGCTCATTAAAATAATGGTGTATATACCCTGATCTGGCACAGAACAGCTATTTCAATACAATGCTTTGTTGTGGCAAAACTATTAAAAACATAATCCATCATGAAGTTGAAAACATTTCCATTCTTTTACTTGTTTTCCCCTTCAGGGTAACAGTGTTCATGGTTTCTCTGTTCTTTCTATGAAAACCAGTAGTGGTTTTTTGTTTAAAACCATGCTATATGAAGTAGTCTTTTTTTTTTTTAAGGAACACATGAAATCTCATTTTTCTCTGAAACCGTTTGTTTCAGTTTATTGAAAAAAATAACTGGAGTCAGAAATATATACATAGTTCAAGTTCTTAAATAATAGTACTAATAAAATGTATTCACCCAAACCACTCATGTTCATTTTTAACCCCTGAGTTGGAGCATCTTTTGGAAATCTGGTGACAATCAAACAACCCGTAGATGCTTTTCAGAACTGCAGCATTCTTTTATAACACAACCCACCCCCACCCCCCCCAAAAAAGGGAAGGCAAATGTTTAAATTGTCCTTTGTGAATTAAGAAAAGTGTGTTTCTTTGCTAGAATGGCTAATGGAATGGATTCCTAAGAGCATGTTATAAAAGATAAAGCAAAATGTACTTATTGAAAATAATGATAAAACAATTATTTGTTGATTCCACCTTGTTTATTTAATGAATCTGAAAGCATTATAAAGCCACCCTTTGGAAATTACTCAATAACTGCAGTTTTTACTATTAGTCACTTTCACTAGAACTATTGAGTACATCATCATGGAGAAGAACTGCCGACAAAGGACAGAATATGCTATTATTATGCATTTTTAAGAGAAAAAAATGGCCAGTTTTTAACATATTGAGCCTGTCCTTGATAAGTTCCATGTAATGTAGGACTTGTAATTTTGATTAATAACTCTTTCCATGTAGATAAAAACAGAATCAGGGATGTTATTAAATGTGTACTGAAACATCTGCGTATTTCAGTTTGCTGATTTCTTTTTTCTTGGTTTGTTAGATTTTTTTTTCCCCCTTAAATTTTGACTTGAAACAAATGTTAAAAGCTAACTTCAGTTGTCTGGCAGTTAGTTGCCTTAAACATGGGCCTTCCCATTTTCAGGGCTTGGCTACCAATTCCTGAGAGCTGGCCCTGTCACATATTTAGAAGAATGTTCCTCAGAGAACTTAAACAACTCTGGCACTCTCACCATTACTGGGTGCTGATAATTGTCACCAAACAAGTCAAGCCAGGAACCTGAAATAAAATTCAGTGTCCTTTAAAACAAACAAAATTTTTTTTAGTTTATTGCACTCTTACGGGAAATTAGAAGCCTCCCCTAGCCCCCTGAAACAGTTTAAAGGGACACTGTCCTATTTCAGTTGGCTCCAGATAATAAAAGGTGGGGACCACAATCTAAGACCATCTTATTAAAAGCTATTTGTTAAAGGATTCAAAAATCCTTAAGCAGTTGTGATTCTTCCTCAATGATTAGTAGTAAATTTTCCCTCCTCATTTAAGAACCCTAATGGCTCAGTGGTTAAGTACTTGGCTGCTGAAAGGTGAGCAGTTAGGACACACACACACACACCACCACCACCACCACCACACCAGCCCACCAACTGGCCGTCTGCTTCCAGAAAGCAGACTTGGAAACCAGTGGGGGCAGTTCTATTCTGTTCTCCAGGGTTGCTAAGAGTTAATTGCTCAGCAGGGCAGTGGGATTTAAGATCCTGGGATTCACAGTGACACCTGCTGGTAATTATTGGGGAATATCTTAAAAGTGTTCCCTTTTTAATTTCTGATTCTGCTTTCCCATCTAGTATGAATTATCTTAAAGGCTTACTATAATTTTCTACATATGAAGAATATACTTTTTAAGATAATTTGTTGAAAATTATAAGATGGCGGTTGTTTGTTTATTCTATTTTGCTTACTTCCTGAACCTGAAACATTATAAAGTAAGCCTTTGGAAAGTGCTCACGAACTGCAGTTTTTATTGTTAGTCACCCTCCTTACCCTCCAGAGTCGGTATTCAGTTAGCCCGACTTCAGGAAGACTACCTGATATCCCCATGAAGTCATTTATATCCCAAGGTAGAGATAGGATGCTAAATATGAAGTTTCTGCAATTGTAGAAATTTTTACGGTGTCACAGTAAGGAAATAATTACTCTTATGATAAAATGCATTATGCCTGCATTTAATCTTTAAGCATGAAAATAACAAATACTGGTCATATACCACAGTAATCAATGCTGACATGTAGAGTTTGAGAAGAATTCAGATTTTGTGTGTGTTACATTTAGAATCTTTCTGTGAGAGAATTAATGCCATATTCAGTGTAAAATGTTTCAAGTTAATTGCTGCAGGACTTTAAGACTTTACTATTTGTCAATAAAGGGCTCTGCAAAATTAGAAAAAGCTGAAATCTTGCAAATGACAGTGGATCATCTGAAGATGCTCCAAGCAACAGGAGGGAAAGGTAAGTCAGTAGCTTCATTTTCCCTTTTCATCTCCCCCCTAATATTGTGAGGCAATTGGAGCTGAACAGGTCTTTAACAAGCTGAAATAGGCGGTCCCACAGTAAAGCCGTGGAAATCAATGCTAATGGCAGGATTGAACTCGTGGGAAAGAACTTCTGGAACAAAAGAAGCTCTTGACCCTGGGCTTGTGTTTGCTTTCATGATCCTGTGGGAGTAAAGCTCATTCATGGCAGGCTGGTCAGAGATTCAGAGATTTGTTTGGGACTTCAGTAGAGCATGCTGGCTTCTATACAGAAAGACAAAACAAATATATAAACATCAAAACAAACTGGAGGTTAGATGCAATTTTTCTCTTTTCTTCTCTTCCCTTTCCCTATTAACTCAGCACTGGAACTCATTGTAAGGACTGTTCCAGTGTTAAGGCCTCAAGTTACTCTGATTGCCGTTTTTAGATTTGGGCGGATCTTGGATTCAAACCACAGAGAACATAAGAAATGCAGGTAGTGCTCATCTGGATTAGGAGCCATCAGTGGAGCAGAGTCACTCCTGGGAGAGCAAGCTGAGCAAGGGTCCTGGACCCAGGGACCTGGGTGATGCCTTTTACACTGGTTAGAGTTTAGGGAGGAATTGTTCAGGGTCTCAGGGAGGGACTCTCACCTTTTGCCAAAAATAAGCTTGAAGTCCTGAAATTCAACTATTATCCGATTTTTCCACATATCACTCATATTTTTCCCTTTTGTATCATTTTTCACCCTTCAAGGAGGTCTTTGATAGTCATCTTAGCCAAAGGTGTCATTCAATATATTTAAGAGCTGAGTAAAAAGGAGGTACCACACAGAGCTAAGTGCTGCAACTAAATCCTAGTACTTGAATTAACCTTTTAGTACTTAGTATTTGGGGGTCCTTAGGCAGTGCAAAAACACACCACAAAAACCTTCTGCTCTTAGGGACCCTATGGGACAGAGTAGAACTAACCAATAGGGTTTCCCAGCCTGTAAATCTTGGAAGACACAAATTGACATATTTTCTCCTTCATGCACTCGACTACTGACCTTAAAAAAAAAGTTGGCAGTTAGAATTCATCCAAAGTGCCACATCAGAAAGGCCTGGCAATTCTGCTCCCATAGACTGTTGCTGTTGGGTGCCATGGAATGGATGCTGACTCATGGTGACAGCCATGTGACAAATGATTATAACCAAAAAAACTCTACAGAACAGTTCTACTCTACAACATGAGATTTTTTTTTACAATTGGCATGGAAATATTTCAGTGTTTACATGGTTACGATCATGTTAGGAAGTCCTGGTAGCAGTCACAGTGACACTTGCTAACCATACACTCGACACATGTTAGCCAAAAGGTCAGGGGTTCAGACTTCCCCAGGGTCCATGGGAGAGAGTCCTAGGTATCTGCTCTTGTAAAGATACAGACTGAAAAATCCCTATGGGACAGGTCTACTCTGACACATAGGATCGCTGTGGGGCAGATCGACTTGACAGCACCTAGCAGCAGCAGCAAATAGCTGTTGCAGTGAGGAACATCCGCCCTGACCTTAACTCTGTTTTACCTATCAGGTTGGGGTTGGTCCAGGCCATCTTGGCCCTGTTTCACTTAGACCTGGCCAGAAGTGCTCTGCTATACCTTTGAGCCCCTGACTGGGTGGCCACAGTGGCTACCTGAGGGTGTTAGGAAACTGGATGGAGTAAAGATGATGCAAAAAGAGCTATTGGACCGTTCTACCTCATGGCATTGTTAGCTACAAGCCACAGAAGTCTTATCAGGGCTTCAAATATTTGGCATGAGCTGTAATATTATTGTTATGGTTTATTATAAAAACCGAGGTCGATTTGGTTGCTATTCTTGGCTACCTGAACAGCCCTAAAATTCATCCCAGAATAGTTTATGAGCAGACATTTCCAAGCAGGCGCCACACAAGTCATCTGACTGCCGGGTCATAAGAGAGGTCATCACGTAGGAGGATGTGGTGGCCTTAAAAATGGGGGTGGGGGGTGGGGGAGGCTGCAAGTGGGGTTCATTCTGATGAAGACTCACAACAGCTGCAGAGGCTGTGCAGTATGCTGGGGAGGGCCATGGGTCCTTACAGCTGGATCATAGGGAGTTCAAATCCTGGCTCTGTCCAGTGGCATTGTGGGTTACATGTTGGCCTGCTAACTGTGGGGTCAGCAGTTTTAAACCACCAACCACTCCATGGGAGAAAGCTGAGGCTTTCTACTCCCATAGAGATTTAGTCTTGGAAGCCCACAGGAGCAATTCTGCTCTGTCCTGTAGGGTCATTAAGAATTGAAACCTCCTCATTGGCAGTGAGTTTTATGAGTGGCTGTGGGTAAATTTCTAGCCTTCTCTGAGCTTCTAGTTCATCATTTATAAAACACGGACAATAAGAGGGTCCATTTCATACAGCTTGGGGGAGTTAATTTACCTGAATCCCCTGAGCTGTATTAGAACAGAAAGGGGTATCGCCAGTCATCGTACTTTCCCTCTGCATTTAGCAACAGGATAGGATTTACTAGTGTGTATTCCTTAGGAGCCCTAGCGGCCCAGTGATCAAGTACTTGACTGCTACCTGAAAGGCTGACCATTCTTCCCCACCCAGCGGTTTGATGGAAGACAATGGCGATCTGCTCTTATAAAGGATTACAGTCTAGAAGATCCTCTCGAGGAGTTCTACTCTGATAAGAGTGTCCTATGCGTCAAAGGATTCAGACGCGTTCAGCCTCTTCCTTAGATGCAACAGAGGACTCTGTCACATACATGACATATCCAAGAACCCATGGCGTTCACTCACTTGGTGACCACACAGGGAAAGCCTTGGAGGCTGCGAGGGGTGCAGTTCCGTGGGTCCATTCTCTGTGGCCTCCCTTGGTAGTGCAGTCACTGCTGGAGAGAACTAAGCCTCGGTGACGAAACCCCTCTGCGTTTCGGAACTTCTCTGATGGTGACATTTCTCCTTGTCAGAGAGTTGGAAGCCTTCGTAGCCTCTGAGGATTCTTAGATGAAATGCTTTTTGTAGAAACATCTCCAGGAATGGTTCTTCCTCTTAATTGCAAAGGCTTTGTTTGCTAATTCGGCCAGAGTCCTGGGATTATAACTTGATTTTGTTCTCAGTCTTCCACATCCACATTCATGAGATTCTATGTCAAACTTGTGTTGACGTTGTTACTGGTTTAATGGCATATATTTTTTGACCCAGACACCATTTAGACAGCTCCAAATTCCTGATGGAATTCTAGATGTGGGACTCTGAATATATATAACTACTTTTTTTCAAAGTATATAATTATAAAATAAAGATGGTCTATTTTTAAAATGCTTTTAAGGTTTTAAAAATAGATCATTAAGTACAAAAAATCTTTAAGATAATTTAGCAAATAAACAAACAACCCTTGCCCCAAGCTCAATGCTATGGAATGTTTCCAAGACTAACTTTTCAGGGTAGTAGAAAGCCTCATCTTTCTCCCAATGGGTGCCTGGTGGTTTCAAACTGCTGGCCTTGTGGTTATTAGCCCAACCCGTAACCACTATGCCACAAGGACTCCTTAATATAGCAAATACCATCAATAAAAATAACCTACAATCTCATGTTGGGGTCTGGTGGGTCAGTAATTAATGCACTTGCTGCTTCGGTTCAAGTCCACACAGACATCTGAGAAAAAGTGCCTGGTGATCCAATGCCCTAAGTCAGCCGTCGAAAACCCTGTGGAGCACAGTCCTGCGCTGGGGTCACCAGGAGTCAGGATCCGCTCAACTGCAGATCTCATATTAGTAAACAGCCTTATGTTGCTTGAAAGAAAATAATTTTATATATTCCAGAACTTCAAATTAGTAACCAAATGCCCTTCCAAAGGCCTTTTTGTTTTCATTAATTTGTTTTCATACGAAGTAATGACAAGATGTTTTCACTTTGCTGATAAAAAAAACTGTCAAAAAGCATTTATGAATGCTTTGAGATTCTAGCATGTTTTGAAAGAACGTCTTCAAGCTGCTAAATGCACTTCATGTCTGTTATAAATGTCAAGAGGATGATGATGTTTCAGATAACCTCTTTAATCTCCAAATGGTGTGACAAGAGACAGAGAGAAGGGAACTCTGTATTACCATGAAAAAGCTTGCCAGGGAACTTCACTTGTCCCTAATACAAGAGGTACCTAACCGCCCCCCTGCCCCGCCCCCGCCCCCACTTTCTGGAAGCATTTGAAACACGGATGTTCCTAATTTTCCCCCAGTGCGATACTTTGTTACAAGAACAACTGTAGCGTATTGCATTGTTAGATTTGTCACACATGTAAATTGCAAAGTGTACTTTCAAACCCTCTTCAATAATTAAAACCATCGGTAGCTGGCAGTTTCAGAAAGTATCATCATTATACTCCAATCTTAAGAACATTAGCTGGTGGTTATTGGCCGTGATTATCTCATTCTCTCTCTCGCCATTTCCCCCCTCCTTTTGCTCCAATTCTCCTCCAGGCTACTTCGACGCGCATGCTCTGGCCATGGACTTCATGAGCATTGGCTTCCGCGAATGCCTAACCGAAGTGGCAAGATACCTGAGCTCCGTGGAAGGCCTGGACTCCTCGGACCCCCTGCGCATGCGCCTTGTCTCTCATCTCAGCACTTGCGCCTCCCAGCGGGAGGCGGCGGCCATGACATCCACCATGGCCCACCACCATCACCCGTTACACCCGCACCACTGGGCCGCCGCCTTCCACCACCTTCCAGCGGCCTTGCTGCAGCCCAATGGACTCCACGCCTCAGAGTCAGCCCCTTGTCGCCTGTCCACAAATTCAGAAGTGCCGCCCGTCCACGGCTCCGCCCTGCTCACCGCCACGTTTGCCCACGCCGACTCGGCGCTGCGAATGCCGTCGACGGGCAGCGTGGCCCCGTGCGTGCCCCCGCTCTCCACCTCTCTCTTGTCCCTCTCGGCCACCGTCCACGCCGCCGCCGCCGCGGCCACCGCCGCCGCGCACAGTTTCCCACTGTCCTTCGCGGGAGCCTTCCCGATGCTGCCCCCCAACGCCGCCGTGGCCGCCACGGCAGCCGTGAGCCCGTCACTGGCGGCCTCAGCCGCGTCCAGCCCCCAGCAGATGGGCAGCGCCACCAATAAACCTTACCGACCCTGGGGGACAGAGGTTGGAGCTTTCTGAGTTCTCAAAGCAGCCCCGCGTTGAACTTGAGCTAGTCGTTGAATGTCCGTCATTTCCGAGTCAGCTTAAACCTCGGCCCCCACGAGGTAGCCAGCCATACACATGCCCTCAGAGATCCACAAAGGAACAAGAGAGCTATTCGAGACCCAAATTTCACAAGTGGAAACGTGCTGATATCTTCATCCCCACCGCCTGCGCACCCCACCCCCGCCGCCCCCTCTTTTTTAAAGGAAGCTTGCTCACTGATAGCAACTCTTGAAACTTCCTTCTTAGTTCCAGTGAGGTTTCCTGGAAAACATGGGCTGTACAATCCAGCAATGCACGAGTACGTCTGAATTGTGGACAAAAAGTGCCCTGACTGAATTCTCTTGAAATTGGATGGCGGGGGTGGGAGTGGGGGTGGGGGGAAATTAATGTTTCATAAGTGCCTGAGCTAGTGAAGTTTTGTGAACACAATATTGCACAAGTAAAGTATGCAAGCAAATGGGCTAAGAAAGGAAGGGTAGAAGCCCTGCATTAGGCTGCAGACATTTAATACAATTCCAGAGGAGAGTATTCTGTTGAAACCAGCAAATTTTTATTGGCCAAAAGGATTGCGGGAAATAAATTCCAAGGTGAAAGACCTAGGTTTTCCTAGTTTACTTGCTTTGTACAGACGTGCCAAGAAGTGGCCTTCAGCAGTGCATTGGTAGACGCCATTATCCCATCAGTGCTTGGGTTAACAGCGTTTCTGCCCTGCTGGCAAGACCCCGGGCACTTTTTCTTTTTGCTCAAAGTAAGGTGCTTCTTTCTATCTGTAAAAACAATACACTGATTTAATGCACTTAGAAGCAATTGGCTACTGAGTACCCTCGCAGAACATTCACCCAAATCTGAAAAACAAAACAAAACCAGTTTATAAGAGCTTGGATTAATTTATTTCATTTCACTTGTACAGCTTGTCTATGTTTAGCGTCGTCATTTTTCTCCAGTTAACATTTTATATCCATTCCTGTCACCTTTGGGAGAAGTTGCATTTCTGGATGTCAGGTGCCAGGGAGAGAGCACTGGGGAGAGCAAAGCCAGGGTTCCTAAAGTGCTCTTTATCGAGTTAGTGATTGCATTTGACCCCAAATCAAGATGAATGTATTCGGTGAGATGTACATAAGTTATTTTTGTCCATGCTAGACTAGTGCTACAAGACGGAGTTTTGGTTTTGTTTCTTGCTTTTGTTTTATGACCTAAAATAATCTCTTACTACATTGAAATCGAGCACGTGAGATTTTTATGTTGGAAAGACAGACACAGCCTGTATTATTATGCACCTCATTTCTCTGCTGTGTGGAGAAAGCAATAAACCTGAGAATGTTAAACATTATGCAAAATTATACCTTTAAATATTTGTTTTAAAATTACTGTGCCTAGTTTTGTTTTTTACATTGTAACATTTTCTATGCAAAGTCTTTACATATCACTAATTAAATGAAGTCCTTTTTGACTTTTTATGTGGATGAATTGCTTTGCAGAACAGAAAGTTGAAGAGGGGTGAGCAGGGCTTTTCTTTGTGTCTTAAATTCATTTGGCTGATAAAATTCACAGCAGGCTTGAAACCTTTTTTTTCTCCCCCAAGCTTGTAAATCAATTACGCATAAGCGGATATGACATAATTTGGAGACGGGAAGTGATCTGCTTCCTCTGCCTTCTATTTTAGCTGTGGCTCTTGGAAAAGTACAAATACGAGACTTCCAAAGGAGACTAGCAAATATAGGGTAACAATCTATACTGTGTCACTTCTAACAACTTTCGTAGCGGGTCTGCAGGACATCACTTGCATACATGATAGGCATATGTGTGCTTCCTGGTGCTACCTTTTGTGAAAACACCTTTTGTTGCTGTGGATATTTTGTCAGCACCCCCTCCGTTCTTCGGTGAAGCCTGAATGAGCCAGCGTTGTTGAAGCTGTTGAGCCAAACAGCATGGAAACTATAGAGCAGGTTGTTTTTATAGTCTTATGTCAGTAAACCCCCAAGATAGAAAAATGGGAAAGCTTTTAGCATTAATTTATTTTTGAAAAATGGATAATTCAATTAATTTATTCTTTGAGGGGGTTGGATTCGTACAAAAATATGTGCAAAAGCACATCACTTCATTTTCTCTATCTCTAATCCTATGGCTATCGAATTAGATCATAAAACGCATTTAGTAGTATTCAAAATTTGCTTTTTCAGTACAATTGATGGAAAATAAGCACATGATTAAGTTTTACTTTAGGATTTTAAAACTAGTTATGTGTCTATTGAAAGTTCAGCCTTTTTTCACAAGTATAAACTTTTAGAAATCAGAAAAAATATTTTAAATGATGATCAAATATTGAAGATCTTCTCCTTCCTCATTCCCTCCCTCTCTCTTCCACTTTGTCTACTTGCTTGTTCTTTTTTCCCCCCCAGTTATACATGTTTTTTTTTAATTTTATTGATTGGAATATTTGCAAACCAATATGACACTTAATCGCTAAGAGCTGTTGGTGTTCCTTGAAATAATCATTGTCAATAATTTTTACCTTTTCAAATTAGAAATAGTTCTACAAGTAAAATTCCCATTATTCCATTGGGTGGCACTTTCTCCCATGGTCCTTTCACTCTGAATTTCAAAAGGACAGACAAGTATTCTGTTGTAATTGTCCCAACTAGCACCATTGAAAGGTAGATGTGATACCAACTGCTGAAATCATTGAATCATCATTCTCTGGGCTAAACCCCATGCTAACCATTGGCAATCTAGTATGACATTTCTCAAAAACTAACTGACACCCAAGTGGATTCCAACTATAGGGTTGGCAAATCTTTACGAGAGCAGGCAGCCTCATCATCTCAGAACACCTGATGGGTTTGAACTACCAACCTGACTGTTAGCAGTTTCCTGCCACCAGGACTCTCTTTATAGGTCAGAATTGTCCTGTTGAGTAGATAGTATTATTATCCATATTTTACACACTAATAACTAAAGAATAGGAGATCATCTAAGGCCATACCTACCCTGTTTCCCCGAAAATAAGACAGTGTCGTATTAAGTTTTGCTCCCAAAGATGCGCTAGGTCTTATTTTCAGGGGATGTCTTATTTTTCCATGAAGAATACGGTATACATGTATGTTTATTGTTTTATTAAAAGAGACCTCACACTTCCTGTCTGCTCCGGCTGCGCTACAGCCAACATTGAGGCTGCGCGGCGGCGCCTGCCACTATGGTCCAGAGTCCAGAGCTCCGATAGCTTTGGGGGGACTTATTTTCAGGGAGGTCTTTTTTTCGGGGAGGTCTTATCAGGGGGATGCCTTATATTTCAGGGAAAGGCAAAACTGTGAGTAGGTCTTATTTTCGGGGGATGTCTTACTTTTGAGGAAACGGTAGTAGTTTGGCTACCAGGCCTATCTGATTCCCAAGCCCAAGATCTTGACCTCATAGCAATGGATTTTAACACTGCTCTTGATTTCTTAAAGTCATTCAGACTAAGCTAGAATGTCAATCTGCCTGGGGTCACTCTAGACAAATGACAAGAATACATCTGTTCACAGGTTTATCACAGAAATCACCATCTTCCCCTTGAATATGAAAGGATCAAAAGGAGCTGCTCTGCTTGGTGCCATGAGCAGCATCAAGCCCTTCAGATAGAAATGATTCCTCAAGTGACCGAGTCTTCACCTCCAGCTTTCAAGCAGGCCACACCTGTCGTAGAACCACTGAACTTGTCCACCATATATAAAGACTGCCAAAGAATACAACCTCACTCAAGGTAGTTGGCAAAAGTGAAACAACTGGAGACATTAAGATTGAGTAAATTCGGTTGGGGGGTTGGGGGTGGGGAGGAGGGACCTGCACTATTTGCATGCAAAAGATAAGGAGTTTTGCTTTTAGTTGAATTGTTCTGAATATACAGTCTACCCCTTCATGTCTTAAAACAATACTCTTCATTTGGACACGAAAACCTGCCCAATAACCTGTTCACAGTAACTATTCTCATGATCAGGAAGGTCTTTTGAACTCAAATTCTTCAGCAGTTAGCAGTTTAAATACGTGTAATTCTTTCATGTATTTTTCTTAAGATACTTGTCATCTTCTGCAAGCATATTTCTCTAAGCAGAAGAGTCCCCAGTTTCTAATGCCATTGTCCTTTCTTTTGTCCCATGGGTGAGAAAATCCGTGTGGAGGAAAGGCACATGCTTTATAAGCTTTTTATATATGTAACTTTGGCAACTTAGCACTTAAGGGCCCTATGATTTTGCATTGGCATAATTTCATATTTTCTTTGAAATGAAAATGAAATTTACAATTTCTCTTGGGGGGAAAAGTATTCCACAAAGAGCAGCTATTATTCATAATGTGTCACTTCTATAAGGGGGTGATACATTTTAAATTGCTAAAACCAAAACAATTGAGTGTGTTAACTCCTTTCTGATTACAAGCCTTAAAGCTAAATAGTATTTACTGAACCGTAAAAGTCTGCTTCTTGGTCCCTCAGTCATTTTATTTTTATTTTAACCTTTCCCTTAATTACAGAAAATCTGAAGACATCTCCAACCCACCCACCCAAACAATACAACCAGCCATGTTTGTGTGTAGACTTTGTCCTGAAATGGTCCGTTCTTCTCAGTGTCTGGACCCTCCTCTTGTGGCAGCCAGTCTGTCCCAGCACCGCTGCTTTAAATAGGCTTCCCTTGGGTTCTGGCAAGTGAATGGAGATGTGTGCTCACTCGTCAGGGCAAAACAGAAGTACAAGCCATCGTGTCCCCTCATTAGGACACCTTTCTCTACCACAGTCACCAGCCACCTCCTCAGTGGGAACTAAGGCAGTAGCTTCTTTTAGTCTCACAAGCAGCTACTATTAGATTCATTTTATTATGAGGTCATCTTTCTGAGAGCAGAAGGCTAAGCACAGCACAGAGCAGAGGGCCGGGCGTGATGACATCATCAAGAAGCACGTGCCGCCCTCTGACCATCAGATGAGGCCACGTGGGCATCTGCTGTGTTGACCAAGCTCCTTCCTGGTGACCATAGGGAACTTGATGGGTCATTGTGACCTCCTTCAGTTTTCAGTAAGTTCTCCTAAAAGATATCCTTAAGTCCAACAGTGTTGCATCATTAAGGTGGCTATTCCAAGAGAACAGACTGACGACACCAAGTGCCTTCTGGCCATGACTACCATGGGAATGACCCTGGTCAATAAACCCATGACTCTCTGGCCCAGTCGCTCCTTCATGTGATCTTCAAACTCAAGAACACCCAGGAGTCAAGGCCATGGGCAAAGCAATAGCGCACTCACTGCCATCAAGTAGATGTGGGGGTCATAGTGACCCCATAGGGCAGGGTAGATCTGCCCCGTGCGTTTCTGAGACAGTAAATATCTACAGGAGTAAAAAGCCCCATCTTTTTCCTGAGGAGCTAGCAGCCTAATGCATCACCACTACGTCCGGGGCTCTGAAGACCAGAGGAACAGAGATGGATCCGATGGGAATGCACTTGACCGCTTTCTCACACGCCAAGATCCAGCAGACAGTCCTTTAGCCGGGCATGTGGGGGTCAGGAACTTGAAACGAAAGAAGCAGCATGGTCCACAATCACATCTCTTGGGACTATGACAGGCAGAAGTGTTTTCTTGATGATAGTACAACTTTACAGCCATATCCAGGGCCCAGCATATTTAGTTAAATAACCTATTGAGCAGTTCTGTTTGTGTTTACGATGTGGGAACTTATTGAAAATCTTGGTCCTTATCCCACATACCACTTACAAATGACTTAACATATTTGCCAGGTTAAACTCATAGAATTCTTTTACAACAAATATGTTTTTAAATTCTCAGTGATCTGATGTCTGTAGTAGCGGGTCTGAATTCAAATCTGGATTTCAATAACAAAAGGGAGGCATGGTGGCACTTTTGGGTAAGCATTGGACAGCTAACCACAAGGTTGGAGGTTCAAACTGACCGGCTGCCCTCAGGAGAAAGATGAAGCTGTCTGCTCTACTTCCAGAAAGATCTACTTCCAGAAAAATCGATAAGTCAGAATCTGCTCAATGGCAGTGCACAGGAACTTTGACAATTTCGCTGAGCCTGTCTGTACCTTATTATCTCTCATCAGTAAAAGGGGATTTCTTTTTAATCTACATGACTTTGAGGAGAATGGATGGAGATAATGTTTTAAAACATGTTACATAATATTGTATAAAAAGTCAACTCATAGAGATCATTCTTCATTTAAAAAAAAAAAGCTCCACCTCATTGTTTCGCACCTCCAAGTGGGCTTTGACACAAAACCATCTATGCACAGCAAAAGGAAACCCAGCCTCGCCCTGCCGTCCTCACAGTGGTTCCTCTGTTCCAGCCCCTGGATGCACCCACTATGTCAATCCATCTTGTGGAGGGCATACTGAAGGCAAAAATTATTAATTGAACCAAACTGTTTAATGGTGGGTTTGTGGGATAAGTTCAGTTTAATATCTAAAGATTACT